CATGCGCAGCCGGTTGCCTCGGTCTCCCATCAGTGGCTTCCTCCCCGGCATCTGATCATGCCGGGGAGCAACTGTGCGGCGGCTCAGGGGATCTGTGTGATCCCGCCGCCGTGTGTCTCTTTTGGTGTGGCTCTAAAAAGCCACACTTTGGCCGTGTTTTTTTCTGCTGTGTGGCAGGCAATGTTCCCTCTAAGCTGTGGAATCTTGTGAGCAAAAAATCTACTTTGGAAGCCACGGGTATTAAAGTTGTGAATGAGCAGTTTGGCTACTGCATAAATTAGTCAGCTCTGGAGCCATCCTGCCTGAGCTAAGACAAAAATCTGTGAGCCGGAGGCTAAAAATCTGTGAGCCGGCTCACACTAACTCAGCTTAGAGGGGACACTGGTGGCAGGGGCCTAAGTCACTCTTTATGGGTCTTAAAATACTCAAATTGTACATCCTGTTTTGCAGGGCCCAAGTCTGATGTGAGGACATTGAATCAGACTGAAAATTTACAGATGCGAATAATCCATTTTTTCCCATAGTGGTTTGAAAGTGTGAGAGGAGCAGTTTGGTTTCTGAGATTTACTGTCTCTTGATGTGGATAGGATCACTTGTAGCTTATTCATTTTTCTTCTCTTCCAGATTGCCGTAACTGTGAAAAGGAACATTTTGAAACGGAAATTAAAAGTAATCAGAACAATAGGTAATCAACATTCATAAAAAATTAAGACATAGCCTTGTTGTATTAATACAGTGACTTTTTGCCCGCAAAGAAAAATAGATTGCATTTATTTTTGCTATAATAGAATCATAAAAACAATAACAATAATTTAAAAAATAAAAATTGCATTTATTTTTGCAGTAATCTCAAATAAACTGAAGTAACTCAATTTGACAAAAGTGTCAAAAACCAATTACTTTTAATACTTAGAAAATGATTTCATACTACAATCTTAAACAAAAATAATGTGCTGTAAGACTACAACCTTCTCTTCAATACCTCTGTCTGTGGTGGTTAAGTAGTAACACACTTTACAGACTTAGATGCTGGCATAGTTCTATGTTCATACAGAAAGTTAAAATGTAGCAGCAGATGTGTAGACTCCTTTATCCATTTTTAGTTCCATGACCCTAAAAACCAATCCTATGGTTATTTAATATCTCTTTTTAAACCTCAAAGAATAATAATGGATTGGACCCAAAGTCTTCCTTGAGTAGACAAGCAATTCCGCTCATGTGGAGATTAGAGACATTTTGCCAGTTTCCTCTTTTCCACTGAATACTCCCACATCACATCTTCTACTGTTCCAAAGGTTCCCCTGGGAATTATGGAACAATTTTGTGCAATGTGGTAGAAAGGGAAGGTGAGAAAGATTTATTCTCTGAGCAGAGTTCTGTTCAAGGTCCTTTGGAGCCAACTCAAGGCCTACTATTCATACAACATGTCTTCTGACTGTTTCAAATGCTTGACACCCATCAGATCATACTCACAACTACTCTGGAAGATAGATTGATCTTATTATCACCACATGACAAATGAATAACTGAGGCTGAGAGACAGTGACTTGTGTAGGGCAACAAGCTGCTGATCAGCCACACTGTGACAGAATTTGAAATGAGGTTTCCATCATGGTTTAGTAATTGCCAGAATGTGTAACTGTTGACAAGAATATAGCAATCAGTGATTCACTTAACAATGAAATGTAGCATTGAATCCAGCCAGCATTTTCCTTCTATATTACCAAATTCCTCTCCTTGCTACAACCACTATCCTACATGGATTTTTCCTATGGTCCACAAAATAGACTTGTTGGTTGTCAAAGGGGACCCCCCTCCTTCCTTTTTCTCTGGTACGCTGGTTGCTCTAACCCATAGTTTCAGAACTTTATGAATATGGCACTATAATTAAGATTGCCCTGATATCTCCAGGTCATTTTTCATGAATGTGTGCCTTGCATACTTTGTTTATTTAAAAAACAACAACAGCATTCTGTATCAGGGGTTGCGTCTGTGGTGCCCTTGCAAGACAGAGATCATGTATGGATCTAACTTTTGAGTGGCACTATAAATCCTCACTATAAATCTGGCAGTAATGGGGAATTAGTATGAGGAAATCCTTATATGTAGCAGCACGCAACAATCTCTTAGCTAGGATTGGAGCTTCTAAATGCTAAAGTATCAGACTCCATACTTGAAATGTCAAATGTATTAACAAAATCATATTAGAGCATTTTGATCAGCTGTATAAAAAGACAAGCTAGCCTGTCAAATTATATGTTGGTAATAAAGGTAATAAATAAAGGAGCTGCGGTGGCTCAAGTGGTTAAGACGCTGAACTGCAGTCTGTGGAAGGTCGGTAGTTCAGCAGTTCGAGACCCGAGTGTGCCGCATGATGGAGTGAGCTCCCGTCTCTGGCCCCAGCTCCTGCCAACCTAGCAGTTCGAAAGCAAGAAATTGCAAGTAGATAAATAAGTACCACTTTGGTGGGAAGGTAACAGCGTTCCGTGCGCGTTGGTGTTTAGTCATGCCGGCCACATGACCATGGAAACGTCTTCGGACAGCGCTGGCTCTTTGGCTTTGAAACGGAGATGAGCACCGCATCCCTAGAGTCGGACTCGACTGGCTTTCGAGCAAGGGAACCTTTACCTTTTAAATAAAGGTCAATAATAAAGGCCCTGACCTGGATAGCCCAGGCTAACTCGATCTTGTCAGATCTCAGAAGCTAAGCAGGGTTGGCTCTGGTTAGTATTGGATGGGAGACCGCCGAGGGATACCAGGATCATGACACAGAGAAGGGCAATAGTGAACCATCTCTGAACATCTCTTGCCTTAAAACCCTATGGGATTGCCATAAGTTGGCTGTGACTTGATAGCGCTTTCCACCACCAATAAAGGTCAATTGAAAAGATAATACTTAACATTCAGTTCGATTGCTTTTAGAGCTTGTGCCAAAGAGGTGAAGGTCCCTTACGTGCGCCTGGAGCGACTGAAGATATGCACATCTGAATCTGGAGAGCTTCCAGTATTCAAACTGCAGCCACAGAAGAATGAACACGATGGGACTTTCCTGCTGATAATTGAATGCGGCTGTCAGTCTTCAAGGAAGGCTATTAAGGTAAACGCATCTGGTTTGATTGCTGTCTGCCTTCCTTCCACCTATGCAGATATAAATTTGAATTTGATGATCTTGGTCACTAGATTTTTCTCCGGCAATGCACTAGGGGTGTGCACCCAAAAAAAAAGAAAAAAAAAAGGAAGGTATTTTTCAGGTTTGGATATCCCAAACCTGAAAAATATCAGCAAATACTGGGCTTTGGGAAATTATTGGTATAGCCAAATTAATTCAGCTCAATTATACCCTATGGGGACTGTCCCCATAGGGTATTCAGGGCTCTACTGGTAGCAGGAGCTCCTTTGCATATTAGGCCACACCCCCCTAGTGTAGCCAATCCTCCAAGAGCTTACAGTAGCCCCAGTAAGAAGAGCTCTGTAAGCTCTTAGAGGATTGGCTACACTAGGGGTGTGTGGCTAATATGTAAATGAGCTCCTGCTACCAGTAGAGCCCTGGAATGATACCCCTAGTTGGGGGGCGGGACTGCACGCTTCCATCGTCGAAGGGAAGGCAAACTCCAGAGAGGAGGTGAGGTGAAGGGAAGGGGGAGAGGGAAGAGAATGGATCTCAGGTGTGTCTGCCTGACAGGTGGGCTGGCGCACTGGCCCCTCTGTCATGCAGAAGCACCTGGATTCCCTTTCTCTCCCCCAATTCCCTTCACCCCACTTGGAGGCAAGGTGAAGGGAAGGGGGAGAGGGGAAGGAATGGATCTCAGGTGTGTCTGCCTGACCGGTGGGCTGGCGCACTGGCCCCTCTGTTAGGCAGAAGCGTCTGAGATCTTTTCCCTGTCCGCTTTGGGATCCCTGAATAAATTCAGAATGGATTCGGCAGTATGTGGGGATGCCCTATTCAGCCAGCCGAATCAGATCAGAGAATCTGATTTGGTATTCGGCCACGCCACATAATGCTGTATAGACATTATTTGGATTCTTAATTGGCTTGGCCAAACCGAATGTACATCCCTATACAGCACTTATACAGTGTTCTTTAGTCACATCAGTTTTCTAGGACAAGGGATTTCCAAGCATTGACCGAAGTACTTGCCTTATTGGTTATTCAGTAACACATTGCTTTCTTTCAGTTCAAGCTCCATATGGAATGTAAATCAAGATCTTTCTAAACCATGATTAATTCAAAACAGAGAATCCTGTGTGTTAGATGTGATGGGAAAGTTACTTGCCATTATATCTGGCACACTAGGAAGTGTCCTGAAAGGCCCATCATCCACTCTGCCCAGCAATGTTCAAATTGCAAAATCAATTATTTTTCTGAATGACTGATGCAATCATTACTGAGTAATCGATTAAATTGTAACGTATTGTAACGTAACTGGGGACAATATAGATTATACTGGACATCTTCATATTATTGGTGTTCTTATTATTTTTATTCTTCTTCTGCTTTAGATATTTAGATTTTTTAAAGATTGTATTATCACTTTATAATACTTTAATCCCACATGCGATATCATGTGTAGGGATGGGCATGAACCGGCTCACAAGCCAAAATTTGGTACAAATTTGGGCTGGTTCAGAGCCCCCAAACTAATGTTCAGGGAAGGTGCCTTCCCCAAACATCTACCAGACATTTCTCTGGTTTGGTTTGGCTGTTTGTGGCCATTTACACATAACCGCTGAGCAGTCCACAGCTGAGCTGTTAGGTTTAAATGGCTGCAAACCATTTTAGCAGTTGGTTTCGGTTCCCCCTGCTTTGAAGTGGGGGGAAGCGAAATGGACTGGTGAAATGGTTGCCAGCCATTTAAACCTAACAGCTGATGGTTGCATCCCGCCCTGCTGTTAAGTTTAAATGGCCATGAGCTTCAAAGCAGGGGGCAGAAGTGAAATAGACAGGTTAAATCTAACCATTTAACCCTTTCTGGGTGATCCCCCCTCTCTCCCGGCTGCAGCTTGCCATGGCTGGGAGGAAGGAGGAACTGAACTCACTGGACTGTCTCGGTTCAGGCGGGGGCCTTTTGGCTCCGTTTGGAGGCACCCCAAACCAAACAGGATTTTTTAGGTTTGTGCCTATCCCTAATTATGTGTGCCATTCTAATGTCAGAAAGCTGGGATATAAATTGTCTAGACAATATTATTGGAAGTATTTATTCACTACATTTAAGCTTCTGCATTCTGATTATCTTCCTTTAAAACTGAATTTTACTTTTCTTCCAAGGTCAATCAAGGACATTCACCTAATGCCCAGGTCAGTCAAGGAAACCCACCTAATAAAGGACTAAATGCCAAGCCTGAGAAGACAGGGGGCCAAAGAATCCCTTCAAGCCAACCAACAGAGCACGCATTACCTCCTCCTGTAGATCATAGGCTCAGTAACAGTCTGAAGAAAGCTGTGCTTCCCCAGGAGGACAGCCCTATCGAGAATGAGGACTTCTGTGCTGTTTGCCTGAATGGAGGAGAACTGCTGTGCTGTGATTACTGCCCAAAGGTGTATCACCTCTCATGCCACGTTCCGGCCTTGCTCAGCTTTCCTGTGTGAGTGCACACAGAACAGGCAATATCTGTTCCTTTTAAAGCATGTATAGAGTATCTGGGACTTTCACAACCCACTTTTTTGGTCATAAACTGTGGCTTCTTGCAGAAAGCCTTATTGCCTTGGTTTGGATGCCTTTGTTCAATGGATTCTTTTGGAGCTTCTTCAGAGCTTGATTGTCTTTCCATTCTTTCTGCATGTTTCCCCCGAGGTTTCTTTAGTCCAATGGTTCCACCCCAAATGTATTGCAGGCATGCATTTTTATGGTTTATTGTTTTACTAGAAATAAGGCCCGTTGTGGAAATAAATACAACGGGATCTAGAAAGAGGCCCTGGGAGAGTGCTCTGGCTTTGGGCAAACAGTGTCAGTCTGCTTTTAAAACATGAACCTGGGACCTGCACACCACCAGAATACAGCAGGTTCCATATGCAACTGACATTCCAACTGCCTTGCGGGGGGGGGGGAGTTTGAGGTGTGGAATGGAGTGAAGTCCAATCAGCTTCCATATGCAAAAGACCAGGTTGTCGCAGCAGTTGTGGTGTGGGCGGGACCCGGGCTTTGCCTTCTGATTGGTGGCGATATATGCTGAGGAGCAGTGCCATCAGCCATACACTAAGGGAGTGCATTTTAGAATTAGAACTTTGGCACCCACTATTCAATTATATATAGGGAGAGATTCATTTCTGGAACATAAGAGAAGACAATGTTGGATCAGGCCATCCAGTCCAACACTCTGTCACACAGTGGCCAAAAACACCAGGTGCCGTCAGGAGGTCCAGCAGTGGGGCTAGAAGCCCTCCCACTATTGCCCCCCCCCCAAGCACCAAGAATACAGAGCATCACTTGCCCCAGACTGAGAATTCCTATCTATACCTTGTGGCTAATAGCCACTGATGGTGCTCCATATGTTTATCGCATTCCCTCTTGATTGTATGCTGCCACCACCTCCTGTGGCAGTGAATTCCATGTGTTAATCACTCTTTGGGTGAAGAAGTACTTCCTTTTATCCGTTCCAACCCTACTGCTCAGCGATTTCATTGAGTGCCCACGTGTTCTTTACAAGTGTCCAGTCACCTATAGCAACAATCTGCGGTTGTGTTTTGTTTCTGTGTTTCAGAGGGGAATGGGTATGTACACTTTGCCGCAATGTCGAGAAGCCAGAGGTGGGATATGACTGTGAAAACACACGCTACGGCAACACACTAATGTGTGCAAGAGCACCTTTTGTCCTTGATGACTATGACCAGAAGGTAAGTCAAGATTTCAGTAAAGGGATATCGACAAGGAATGACAAAGCCTCTTTTCTTCTCCAGTGAAGAACGGGGTACATGAGCCAGGAATCACCCCCTGGAATAAAAAGGCAAACTAAATGCAGCGAACTCCATCTGTGGCAAACCTGTTAGGGCAGCTCAGGGAGAATTCCACACAGCCGTGTTTGGAGAGTATACATTACTTCTGCTTGTTCAATTAATCTTGTGACTTCTTTCTCATATTTTGATATCGTGACTTCCTACGTTCTGAAATACCTTCAAAATGAGTGGAATCAAGATACAAAACACAGTCAAGCCCAAACTAGCTATTGTCCCATTAATTTTGGCTGGATTAGTTAGAACATGGAGTAGGAACATTGAGAGATAAATTACCTTAGCAAAAGCTCTTAACACAAATAGGCATTGACACAGCTAATTAAAAAAAATGAATTGTCAACCTTTGTTTTACAGAAGTGTGAGAAACTGGTACTTTCACTGTTCTGCAATAGCCTGAGCCTACCATTCCATGAACCAGTAAGCCCCCTAGTAAGTATTACACAAAGTCAAAACAACAACAAAAACCATTCTGGAAATCTCTTTAATCTTCTGTCTTCTCCCTATCCTAGTCTGCACTGTATTTCTATGAAACAATCAGGGGTCATTTCGTAGAAAAAGAGCTAGGGGAACTCATTAGCATAACTCATTAGCATATGCCACACCCCCTGACATCAGGGGCCCGGCAGTGGACCTGCAAGGCCACCGGGAGTGCAAGGAAGCCCTGCCCAGGCCCTCCCTGGCCCCAGGCAGGCAGGGGTGGGGAGAGGCGGGGAGGAAGCAACTTACCCTCCCTCTTCTCCTGCCTCCTCCTGGCTGAATGAGGGCTGGAAGCGGGGCAGCCAGAAGCAGGGGGCGGGGCTTCGTCATGTGCCCCCCCCTGCACCTCGCCTGGCGGAACTGCGTTCCCCGTGTTCCCCCCCAAAATGATCTCTGGAAACAATCCTGTTGATTTGGCAGGCACTAGTTTGCCTCTTGCAGTGAAATGGTTGGTAGGTATCATCATGCCATAAAATAATCTTATCTTAGGGTTGAGAGTGAACATGAATTTTATTCACACAAGCTGAAAAGGGATTCTCACATGATGATGAGAGTGACTGCAGACTGTGGGCTTTTTTCCTGACTGGGGAGGTTCTTTCACAGGAGAGATCCCACATCTTTAGTTGTAAGGCTTCAGCAGGGCTATTTTGGGGCAGGAACGCACAGGAACGGAATGCCGGCTGGCTTCAGAGTTGGCCATACCCACTACAGTCAAAACCTCTCTGTGTGTGGCTACTTGTCAGGGGTGTGGCCTATTATGCTAACGAGTTCCTGCTGGGCTTAAAAAAAAAGAGCCCTGGGCTTTAGTCATAAATAGAGTGACCGCTTTCCTGTGCCCTTTCAGCCTCCTCTTTTAAGGCAAAAAAGGCCTCTTTTCTTCTTTTTTCCTGGTGCCTGTTAGATAGACAGTTCTTCGCTTAGGAGTCCCTGCATATACTCTGCTTGTCATTGCTCTTTAAAGTTTCACTCATTGTTTTATTTGTAATGTGAAGAAAACAGTGGCCTGCTTCACAGGAATTTTTAGAGGCATGCGGGACTGTCGTGATGATCGGTATTCTAATCCTTTGTCTTTCTTCCTTGATAGGCTCGTCATTATTATCAGATCATCAAAAGGCCTATGGACTTGTCCATTATCCGGAAAAAACTCCAAAAAAAGAACAAATTCCACTACTCCACCTCTGAGGAGCTGGTAGCAGATGTGCGCCTCATGTTCTGGAACTGTGCAACATTCAACTATGTAAATATCTGCGGTTCAGAAAGTAGCACATACGGTAGCATCACCATTGCAAAGACTCCCCCTCCCCTTACTATGGAATATTTTAATTTGAGATCTTGTTTTTTAAACCAGTTTTGAAGGGTCCCAACGTGGGGCTGTCAAACTGGTTACAGAGTATATTTTTAAAAAGGCAAGATAGCTACTGAGCTGTAGTTGACAGAAGCTTATTATTATTATTATTATCATCATCATGGGGACAGATGCACCCTGGGCAAACAGACTGGCACCTGGTTTGGGCTTTACACTGAGAGATATGTAAAAGTTATGAATGATTCTGAAAAGCGGAGACTTTGCAAAATGAATGTTGAACCTTGACTGCTTATGACCTAACATGCAGGCAATGATCCCTCTAAGCTGTGGAGTCCTGTGAGCAAAAATTCTCCTTTGTGAGCTACTGGCATTAAAGTTGTGAGCGAGCCACTTGGCTACTGCATGAATTAGTTTGCTCTGGAGCCATCCTTCCTGAGCTAAGACAAAAATGTGTAAGCTGGAGGCTAAAAAACTGTGAGCTAGCTCACACTAACTCAGCTTAGAGGGAACACTGCTTGCAGGGAAAACCCATCCATAGCGTCCTGTGAAACTCTTTAATGCCTTTGATTAATCCATGAAAATGAGGTATGGGCATGTGGAGTCTGGGGCGCAGGAAACAGTTGTAAGCAGGGGTATTTTTGGGCAGGAACGCACAGGAATGGAGTTCCGGCTGGCTCCTGAGTTGGCCACACCCAGCAGGAACTCATTAGAATAATACCCAACAGCAGAAACTCATTAGGATAGGCTACATTAGGGGTGTGTGGCCTAACATGCAAAGAAGTTCCTGCTACAAAAAAAGCCTAGGGTATTGACAACAAAGTAAACAGAATAAGAAGCAAAAGGTGGGTGTGGCTGGATGACCACACTTCTGGTAACATGGGGGGTGCGGCCTAATATGCTAATGTGCTGTGCTGTCGAGGGTGTGACCTAATATGCTAATGAGTGTCTGCTGTTGGGTGTGGCCTATTATGCTAATGAGTTCCTGCTGGGCTTTTTCTACAAAAAAAGCCCTGGTTGTAAGAATAGAGACATTGCTCTGCAACTATAAAGTAATCACAAGGAACAGTTGAGTTAATATTGTCTGCCTGCATCCTACATCCTAACAGCTTAGTGATAATGACTTCCAAATTTCTAATAATTAGCATTGTCAGCAGTGACTATACAATAGAGACAATGAGAGTAGACAGAGGGTAAAGTACATAAGATCTAGGAGGTGCAATAGAAAATCAAGAGGGTCCTGTTCGTAGCAAGAGAGAAAGCAGGTCTTAACCAGTGAACAACGCACTGTCCGAATATTTTGTGGTGCTTTTCCTTGTAGCCTGATTCAGAAGTTGCTGAGGCTGGACGATGCCTGGAAATATTCTTTGAAAGCAAGCTGAAAGACATTTACCCAGAAAAGCATTTCTCCTTGGTGCAGCAAGATGATTCTGATTCAGAAGAAGTGGAGCATGAGAATAGCCAAGTATCCTCCAAGGGATTCCATTGGCCATCATACAGACAAGAGTGTATCCAGCCCAAAAGAAGGCGACGGCATGCTGTAAGAATGCAAAAGCAAAAACACTTGTTTGCAAAGAGGCCACACTTTATGCAGGTGTAAAGCCTTGTAAAGCTGCAGTGACTCAAGTGGTTAAGACGCTGAGCTGCAGGCTGGAAGGTCGGTAGTTCAGCAGTTCGAGACCCGAGTGTGCCGCATGACAGAGTGAGCTCCCATCTCTAGTTCCAGCTCCTGTCAACCTAGCAGTTCGAAAGCAAGAAATTGCAAGTAGATAAATAGGTACCACTTCAGTGGGAAGGTAACAGCATTCCGTGTGCCTTGGTGTTTAGTCAAGCCGGCGACATGACCACGGAAATGTCTTTGGACAGTGCTGGTTCTTCGACTTGGAAACGGAGATGAGCACCGTAACCCTAGAGTCGGATTTGACTGGCTTTTGAGCAAGGGAAACCTAAAACCTTGACAAAATACATGGGAATATGCTGTCCAGTCTGGGTGAGATAAGGCTGGTCCTTTCTATAAGATGAATTCCAAGATGATCTCCATGATCAGTGATATATATCTGTCTGTGAGAAAAAAGGGGCGAATAAGTGAAGTTATCCCAAGCCACCTAGCTATTTTGCCAAGAGAAGACTGTGTAAAATAATATTTGAGAAGGCTGTATCTTCTAGCTTTTTATGCTTTGTTTCCTTTGTATGCAGGAAAGTGAAAAAACGAAAAGACCGATGTTTTGGCCAGCTAAAGGACTTTCTCAGGTGTGATCTGCACTGGTGCTGGGTATGCTGTGAAGAACCCAAAATATCAATCACGATAACTGACAGTCATAAAAATGTGGGAGGAAATATAAGAACTTAGATATTTCACCTGAATTTCACACCCGTGACTGACCAACTTTACTTCGAGACCCTTTGGGGAGATTACATTTTTAATCTATCCCCCACTATCCATTCTGCCCAATGATTTGTATTTACACTAATGTTTTGGTCATTTGCAACAGCGACTATTAATAAAAATAGGACATTTGTTATTCTGGTTTTAAGATTATTTCATACAGTCGTTTCACGTCATAGATCATAACTAACATAACCATCTAGTACTGTTATCATGTTCCATACATATTGATATCAGATTTAAATGTAACCATTTTATCCTAGGTAGCGGTATTTAAGTCTGTTGTTGTCTATACTGAATGACATTAATTCAAAATATATCTAGTATGAGGAATGCACCACCAAGCTCCATAAAGTGACAGAAGTGTATACGGAATGTACTTCCTTTGTTCTGGAAGTGATATCTGGTGCCTTCATCTCTCACAGGGACTAGAGGATAACCAGGTGCTGAAATGGTTCAATATTTCTTAAGTGGGCTGGATGCTCATCTGATGTCACCAGCAAGCTGAGACCATTCCTGTGTCCAGCCTATGTCAGTCTGGATGCACTGCGGATTGGGGTTGATTCTGGAGCTCATCCGTCTGCATGACCGCAAGAGTGATCCTGCTACAGATTTTTTTAAAAAACATGGTGCATCAAATTTGCTTTTTCAGGGACTTTTCCCCCTTACCCTGTCATTTGAACTTTAAAGTGTCAGATTTTAAGGGCAAGAAGATCTCATGCAGACTAACTATAAGGATACGGTTGTTTCAGTCAATAGAAGACCTCACGTTCTTATCCCTTACACCCTGTCCTGATCACAAAATTTCACTGTGACATTTCAGCCGTGCCACATTCTTTCCACTCTGGCATTCCTTTACTTCTGTTAGCCTCATTCCTAAGCTCAATTGAAATACTGAAAAGGGAAAAAAAGGGCGACATAGGGTGATCTTAACATTGCTTGGTTTTCATTTGGCCATTCAAAAAATCAAAATTGCTTAAGTCCCTAGTAATATCACAGTTAGGCTTCATTTCCTGTAAATAATAAAAGGTTCTAAGCACAGTCTATATGAATGTATCAAATAAAGTAGATATGATGTTATAATAGATAACACTGTAAGTGAGAGTGTATAGAATTATTGGCAAGATCTTCCTGTTGTCCATTTTAATATTGACTGACATAAATACTGTAGAAAAAGATGTTGTCTAAAATGTTTGCTAATGTATAATAAACAATTCACCTGGGGAAAACAAACAAACAAACTGTTAAGCTCTCTTTTCCTGCTTATCTTCTGGCTATCATTCCAGGCATGATTATCTTGAGCTGCAAGGACTATCAAGCTTGCTTCTGAAAGCCATGATTTCCTGCATAATCTTTCCTAAGGCTACCAACCCATCGGTGTAGCCTACAGTTCTCCTGGCATAAAAACTGATATCCATCTACAGAAAGCAGTTTCTGTGGAGGAAATGGCTGGTTCATAGGTTGGGCTCTGTAGTACACCACAGAGTCTAGGGCCGCGGTCACACGGACCTCTTACCGCGCTAGTTTTCCCGCAGTTCTTCTATCCGCGACATTTTAGATCGCGTGGAGGTGGTCAGACGGTCCCTCTGTCTTCCGCTTCACTTGCGTGAAGTACTGATCACACAGCGCGCCGTCCCCGTGACGGCGCGGGTTTGTTTTTTTTAAAAAAAAACCTGCGCATGCGCTTGGGCATATATACTAACTAAGAAGACCAAAATAAAAGCTAGCGCCTGTTTGCACATGCGCATAACTTAAACTGGAAGCACAAAAAAGGGGGAAGGGGGGAGGGTAGCGCGGTCACGGCGGATTGCTGTCCAGATACCAAAACCGCAGATACAAAGCGCGAGATATCGGAAAACACCTGTTCCAACGGGTGTCAGAAAATGCGGATAAAAAGAGCGGAAACCGCAGGACTCAGCCCGCTTCGGTGCAGGAGGCGGGTTTGCCAATATGAACAGGAAACTTTAATGCGCGAGGGATCAGCAGCGAAGCCCGCACTAAATGTCCGTGTGACCTGACCCTAGGAGAGACTAAAGTCCTACAGTAGCTGTGGAGAGTAGATTCTCTAGGACTTTTGTTTGATCTATGATGTACCACAGAGGTTAGGCGAGGCTGATTATTACCTGTAAAGACGCTAAATTCCTGAGCCCAGTTGGGGATTGGGAGAGGGATAGTACTTCGGTCGATCTATGATGTACCACAGAGGTTAGGCGAAACTGATTATTACCTGTAAAGATGCTAAATTCCCGAGCCCAGGTGGGGATTGGGAGATGGATAGTACTTCGGTTAGCTGGCATCCGCCTATTGGTCTTCATATTGGATTTTTCTCCTTAACACTGAGAAAAGCCTGAAATATTTGAGAGGTTTTTAGATTGAGTGGAACATAAGTGGACCGTAGCTGGTCATACCAGCGCAGACATTCAGAAACAAAGGGTTAGTATGACATACCGAACACAGGCATGCAAAAGCCTACAGGTGATGTAAGGTTAGAGAAAAAGGTGGGGGAGGAGAAATGGAGGAGTTGGAGGAACTGACCTTTGTCCTGGAGAGGACATCACATCATATCTCCAGTGAGCTCCCTCTGCTCCCCAAATTCTGCCATCCACAGGAGTTTTTCAAGCTTGGTATTACTGGTTGATCTGCTCTGATTTCCCAACCTCAGTTGCTCAGATATCAACTTTGGGCTAAATTATACAATGCTGGAGTGTATTTATACCTGAGACTGACAGGATCAAAGCCACCCGGTAAATTATGAAGCTATGAGGCTGAACAACCATTTGAAAGTGGCTCTCCCTGTTTCAAGATAAACACTGCATACTTGAATGCTCTGCTTGTTTGAACATTGAATGAATAATTAATTGAGGAGGAGAGCCAGTTTGGTGTAGTGGATAAGTGCACGGACTCTAATCTGGGAGAACCGGGTTTGATTCCCCACTCCTCCACTCGCACATGCTGGATGACCTTGGGCAAGCCGTAGTTCTGTCACAGCTGTTCTGGAAAAAGAGCAGTTTCTGTCAGAGCTCTCTCAGCCCCTCCTAACTCACAAGGTGTCTGTTGTGGGGAGGGGAAGGGAAAGGAGTTTGTAAGCCGCTCTGAGATTC